TCGTCACTGAATGACATCCAGTAAATTTCTAGCGGGGACCAATCAGAGGGCTGCTGAATAATTTGAATAATTTATCAAGGCCCACGGACGCGGTTCTTTCTCTTGTAAAGTAGCCAATTACCACCGAGCCGGTGGCACACGATGTGCGAAAACATGTATTTCACACCCATTGTACGTCGACATAAAGCGCTTATACATTACAAACACAATTTTCGTAGGACTGCCATTACTTTAGTTTGCAGCATGTGTATTGAGAACGAGTATCTTCATAAAACTAACAGTAGATGTTTTAAGGAATTCACAGAAATGACAATGATAGATTTTTTTTCGTTTATCTAAGAGATGTACATACAGCAAAAAGAAAACAGCGTGGCAAGCCCCTCTTAATACAAATATACTAATACACAGAATACATATTTGTGCTGTGACATTTTACGAAGAATGTTTGTCTCGAAAATCATGAAAATAATGCATTATAGAAATAAGGTTTCTTATTCAATGCTGTACTCTTATAGATGTCATATTTTGCTGAAATAGATAATGTAACGCATATACATTATACAGCACAAAATAAAGAGTAACAGTAATGTAGTCGTCTTTGGCCGGGTATGGCAAGTTATAGTACGTACATGTATCGGTTCAATGTTTAACGGGTAAGTTGACAGCAACAAGCAAGATGCATAGGTTCTATTACTTTTGTAGCTCACTTGCGTCTAGATTTGGGACGAACCCATGTTACTTTTTCGCCGCAGTTTTTCATGTAGTGGTTACTTCGACAGCCTTTCCGCTGACGCAAACATACTAGTTTGAGGTTCCACAGTTCTTACAACGTGAGCGCTTGAAGTGGTGTTTTCCAAGTTTGTTGGTCTGGTGATGTTGTCTTTGTTGGCTTGTTGTCTGTCATTTCCCTCCATTTTTATGTTTGGCGGCCCATCTTCGATGGGTTGGGTTTGGTTCACAAATCTCGCCTTCCCGTACGTAGTGGTCGCTCCATTAGCGCTAGTGCAGCCACATTTGAATGTGTAAAACTTAATGTCTACAGTCCCGTTTTGATTCGTTCATCAAAGTAGATTTTACTGAGGTATGACTTTACTAACTGATTGTGGAAGTACTAGTACTTAGTACTGATGTAAACAAGAAACAATATACGCGCTCTGGTTGAGTTCATGGCATTTACATGAAACAAGGTGCTAATTAAATATATAATAGCCGCTAGTCGGTGACGCGTCAGCAGCCCTCTGATTGGTCCCCGCTAGAAATCTACTGGATGTCATATAGTGTACACGGGGGGGGGGGGTTTATAGGCGCTACCAACTGACGGATCTAGACCTTTTAGCGGCTTCGGTAGGAGCGTCGGGTTATGAGCTGGTGCCCGGGTTTGGCGTGGGTTCGAACCCCGGCCCGGGGCCAGGAGTGTCTTTCTTTCTACTCTCCTATTTCCTAATTTCCTACCAGCATACAACGCCGCCTACGTCATTGGACGTGATAAATTGGATCAACCAAAGATTGTTTGTTTATTTATTTTTGTTTGTTTTGACACCGTACACAGATCTCGCAGGAGAGTTAGAGGTTCTACAGGCCATATATGGGGAAGACGTACAGAGCCTGGGGGGAGGAGCTCATACCGAGGTTTTAATGACCCTCGGACAGGAGGGTATCGGACTGCAGTTCCTGTTATCAGGTTCGTACTACTGGTAAATAATATCGATATGACCTGTATTTTTAATTTTACAAAATTAATTACTAGCCCTTAATTGTAAGAAATAGACCCCTACTCTTGTCGTTAAAAGTTTCGATCAAAATTCTATCACACTGAGCGCCTCAAGTCATTTTAAATAATGCTGAGGTTACATTTTCCAAACCGGGGTCCGGCCGGGCTGTTTGTATGAACGAAAAATTGCACCGTGAAAATTGACAATACATATCAGGAATGTACAGAAATAGTACCCATGATTATTATCAAAAACCTTTCTGTCTTTCATATCGTACTTTTCGCACGGTTTTGAAATGTGACCTCAGCACAAGAAGCGTATTTTTATAATGGCATGGACTTTGTCCATGACCGTAATGTGGCATAATAGACTTTGAAATCGTGGCAAAATGGCATGTGCGGTTGAAACTGTACTTCAACGCTTCAAACGTCATCCCGACCGTGTGCAAAACAACTTGAAAATAGCTCAGAATTGCAAATTCTTGCCCGAAGGCTACAAAACAGACATCAACATACATGAGGAATTGTATGTCATATTTCATACACAGTAGGTCGTACAAAATGCACCACCAAAATTAAAATCTATACATTAAAGCTCCTTCTTAGCTTAATAAACTGTTGCCAAATTCCTCATACTGGTGTTGTAAAAGATTGGATGATAAAAATATTCCTTGCATCGGCCGGGAATCGAACCCGGGCCTCCCGCGTGGCAGGCGAGAATTCTACCACTGAACCACCGATGCTTGTGTCTATCGTGCTGACAACAGCTGGTTAGATTCGCGAAAAGCAACGCTTAACGTTAAACAGATGTTGTCTCACACGGATGTGAGATTACATCTGCTAGGTCTGAAGTTTCGGCGCGAAATGCAAAAGAATGATTGATTCATGATTCGTCGTAAGCTTGATTCGTTTTCTTTGGCGATAACTTGAAATGTGTGTAAAATTTTAACAATGTGTCATGAAAATACTAGTAACGTTTGGTTTGCTTCTAATGATTGTGAAATGAAACCAGAGACTACAAAAGATACAAAGATACAAATTTTGAACCGACGCAATATTACCTTTGGAACAAGTATTAAAAGACCAAAGTCATTTTATTTATTATTATAATTTGAACACTGTCATTTTGAACACGGTGACACGGAGAAAAATAAGTTTTCGCACATTTAATTCTTAATTTTATTTACATAAATGAGGAAACTAAACTAAAATCACATACAGTAGCTTTGTAAGCACGCGCGCGAGGTCCGGTCCGATATTTACTTTAGATGACTTCTGAAACCTTATCTCTGTCAACATCTAACTACAAATATTATGTATTATGCTAGACTATAATAATGAACAGGGTACCCCATGATAACGTGATACCATGGAGGTAAAAAAGAGACCTTCAAAAAAAAAAACTCGATAACATATTTCATTCTACAAGTTACTAGAATGGTTGTGATGCAAGTATACATTGCAATTACCTGTATAAGGGAAAGTGTACATTGCATACTCTTATGGAATATTTCTGACAGGACGATACCCGGAGGAACCCCCTACCATCCACGTGTCCAGTTCTGAAGCATGCGACGTGGCAGATTCTGCAGTACTGGGGGCGCATCTAGAGGGCGTTGCTAAGGCGTCTGTCGGTAAGAGTAGATCATGAACTTCAGAATAGAAATTACTTAAAACAGTCGCAAAAGTGCCACATTATATTTAGATATGAGTATTTTGTACCATGTATGTGTAAATAATACTGAAAATATGTATATAGACTTAAAATAAATGATGAAACCGCTAAATATAAGTTTGGTATGAACAGGATCTTTGACTGACCCTTACCCTCATGACTTCAATGAAAAGCGGCCGATTTGAGCTTAAGAATGGTTCAAAGTAATCGAATCGTTGGAAATCGTATAACTTATAATAGTCTTCAAGCTTTTAAATTGTACGATGTCGACAATTCAGTCATTTAGGCTGTCACAGACTTTTAAAATGTGCATGTGAAGAATAATAAAAGTAATAATCATCATCATATTTCCAGGAGAGCCCATGCTTCATACTCTCATCACGGAGGCCAAGGATTTTGTAGCCTCCCGTGTCAAGGACGTTCCAAGGTCATGTTCGACGAAGACGTCGGCCCAAGACGACAGCAAACCCGTCTGCAAGTTTTTCCTCGAAGGAAAATGTAGATTCGGGGACAACTGCTTCAACCGCCATCCTCAGGAGAATGCTGTGCCGACGGCGGCAAAGCGCGTTTCACTTTCAGGTAGCCGCACAGTTTTCACCCTATAGTTAAGGTCCCCAAGGTAAAATATTTCGACAGGTTAAAAATGGAGGTACTAGTATTGTTTTTGGAGTGTCTGTGTGTCTGTGTGTTTCCGCACGTTTGTAGTCAGCATAACTTTAATATGAAAGATTGCGTTTGTGAAACACGAATTTAAGGCACAAACTACTTTAAGATACAAACTATAAATTGCTGAAGAACAAAAAATTCTGTTGGCGTATCGGCGTATGGCGCTCTGTGGAGGTTAATTTAACTGCAGCCGACCAACACGAAAGCCAACTTCGTATACTAGGAGTATTCATATTTATGATCATTTATAAATACGGCGTATTTATATCAGAACTGGAAACCGTTAAACCCCAAATCAATTAGTCTGAAGGTCCTAATACCACACGGCACAATCGCTCAACACATGAGACTTTATTTCTACCCATACCCATGCCAGTCTTTGTGGATTTTGTCCGCAGTAGTTTGTATAGTAAACCGCCCATTGTATTCTGCTACCTTCAGAGACCAAAGCAGAGAACAGGGAGAGTCTCGTGGAATCTCGCGAGAGCGAGAGGAAAGGGGGGAAGAAGCCGCCAATGAGGACGGCCCTTGACGTCATCAACCGCATCCAATGGGATGACGACCTTCCCAGCAGGAACTTTGTGATTGGCTACTTGGACAGGTTCACAGGTGAGATGTACAACCACATCAACATTAAGAACATAGAAAAATCCTGACAATCGGTTGGAACCGATTTCACAAGAATTTCAAGGGGGCCCGCATGCCCTTTTCCTCAGTGTAATCGGCCGTTTTAGACAGAGCGCTCTAATTCAACCTAGAGCGTACTTGGCGCATTTTGCGTAAAGCGTGATTCGCGTATTAATTCTACATAATGCGTTATAACCACTTGGAATTTATCGTAAACGTAAAGCGTAATCGCTACTGTAGCGTTATGCGGGGCCACTCCATACAGGCCCTCTTTCTTCAAGATACTAGTAATCGGGTGTTAGGGTAAGATGCCAAGTCATAAAAAACGAAAAAAAGTTAATAACAAAAATTATCATGAGTACTTAAGCTGTAAATCTCAAAAATAAAAACCTTGCATCGGCCGGGAATCGAACCCGGGCCTCCCGCGTGGCAGGCGAGAATTCTACCACTGAACCACCGATGCTTGTGTGATAACGGATAAAAGCATTTGATTGAACTTTGCCAGATCACAAAACAAGTGACATGTTTCCTTGAACGGAAAAGGATGAAACGACATAACATAACCCTGATAGCTAAATTACAGCATATAGCAAGCAAATATAATACTAGTCTTTATACAAAGTTTATTGCAGATGCAAGAACATGATCGAGCATGCTAAGCAGAACTTGGTAGATTGTAACTAGACATCCGTATCCGTATGCGTAGTCAAGTATTGGTTAAGACTGAGACAACTAGACGCTAATACACATCACCTACAAGTTGACGCTCTACTATTAAAAAATGTTATAAGCTGCCGATTCGAGTGTTCTGTTCTGACGCGCCGTTGTTTGATGCAGGAGTTCAGGAGAGGCCGTTTGACGAGTTCACGTGGGGCGAGCTGAGTGACGCCGAGCTGGACGACCTGGCCATCCCACAGCACCGCATCCAGTACTTCAAGTACCACGATCAGAAGGTGCGTGGGGTTTCTTTAGGTCAATAGGACAGCAAACATCCAGCGAGTCTCTGTAGCTAGCCTCTGCCAGGCTTCAGAGGCGGCTGGCCAAATAGATAACATGCCAGAGGAGTTAGTCCGCAAAAGGAGTACAGTCAGAGTGGCAAGGTGTGCTCTTTTGTTTGCGTTGAAAAGTTGTTAGGAGGCGTCGCAAGTCTTGTTTATATACACATTTGTAGATGATAATCGTACATGTTACCAGGGCGGTGCCAAACTAGCTACTTATATAAAAGGGAAGAGGACAGTCGAGTGGCATCCTGCAACGATGGATGTGATGATAACCTTTTTTTTTTTACATTTTCAGGTGTGGGACAAAAACGAGCGACTGGACAACGTGTTCGGATCCACCGGAAGTTACGTCACCATCCACGACGTGATGCAAAGATACAAAAAGGAGGACGAAACAGTCCAAGAAAAGGAAGAAGGAGAAGGCACACAGGATGTAGCGGATCCGGAAGAACCATCAGAAGACGAAGAAAGTAGCTCAGACGAAGACGGCGATATGGCAACGAACAAGACCAGACCAAGAAAGTCATCAAAACCAACTTCCTCGAACAAACCGAACTACTTCGTAGCCGTCCGTATAACCGATCCTGACATACTTAGGGTCGCGAGGGACTTTCAGAAATGTATTTTCGAGCGTTCGCCTGTCCTGGACGCTGCTTTGGCGCCGGTTGAAAAACTCCACGTCACGCTGTGCGTGCTGCGGATCGACGACCAGACTCAGCTAGATGCTGCTAGGAGAGTTTTGCGAGACCTGAAGCGGGAATCAGCCCGTTTGCTACCACCTTCTCTCGTCCTAAACTTCCGCGGGGTCGAAACTTTCCACAACCGTGTGGTGTACGCCGCTCCGGAGGACAACGCGAACTTTCGCGCGCTGGCTGGCCGCGTGACGTCACTGCTGGGTGACGCTGGGCTGAATATGGCGGGAAACCGTGACGAGTACATCCCACATCTCACCTTACTGAAGCTCTCAAAGTCGATGTGTAAAGAAATGGCGTCTTGTGGCGCTCTGAGCGCAGAAGGAGTGGACCCGACGCTGTACGACAGGTTTGTAGACCGGCAGTTCGGCGCGCAAGCTGTGGACGAGCTTCACCTGTGCTCTATGGGCTCCACAAGGCACGATGGTTTCTACCAGTGTGAAGCGAGCGTCGGGCTTTTTGACGAACATTAGGTGATCTCTAAGGCCTCAGCAAGTAAATTTTATGGATGACATCCTTCGCAGACTCCAAATCTAATGCGAGCGGGCGAAAAAAAAATAAGGCCGAAAAAACAAGGTTCATACGTACATGTCATTTTGACTCAATCAATCATGTACAAATGAAACGGGGGTTAGACGTACTTACATCAAACGCAAGTCTTTTTTGGAGCAAGATTTTTTGCAGATTTATTCATCTGTGTAAATTAAAATGGAAACATATTTTCCGACTGTGATTTTGATAAAACCTATTTTACAGCTATCATTATTTCTGATATTGACGTTCAAATAAAACTTTGTGAAAATAGAGAAGTGGCGTGGCCACAGTGTGTGAAATGTACTTTTTCTTTAGTTTGTTAGGAGCCCCGTAGAAAACAGGGCGGTGAAAAATTGAGCTATAGACTCATTGATTGTTACCCTCCACGGAAATCTTTAGTAAAAGGCGAAAGATTTGTACGTATGTACTGTAGGGAAACCAGAGTAAAGAAAATTGGTCACAATTTTCCACCCAGTCAAACAGTAACAATATCTAGACATGGCGGACTTGCAAGCACAAAATTGCATTCCTAAGAGCAACAGTAACATGTATGCACCAACATTATCTCAGTTGGCACAAGCATAATTTCTTCGACTTTCACAAGTATTTTGTATTGCTGTCTGATCTATGTTAAGGATTCTGACATTCATAAACCTCTACGAAATAGTAGTAGTACTTGGACTTGTACTTGTACTTGTTCCTGTTTGAGGCTGCTGGGAAATATGATAATGAGCTGCTCATGAATATGCATAAGTCACAACAATGGCAATGTCAATACTAGTTTATTTAATACCAGGCATTGTCTGACAAAATACACGTACTTGCTTGTCTATGATACTTGAAATGTCGAAGAAGGTTAGATATCCAGGTAATAACATACACATGCACGTGAAAACAGTAGTTTAAACTCAATCAACTGGACAGATTTTGAAAATTGTTGAACATTCCACCAAGTAGCATCTGCTACTTTTTGTCAGTGACTGATGGAATCTGTAGTGAAACAAGGGTAACTTAGGAGCAATGTGGGAAATTGAAAGAGAAAGAAGATGACAACTGACACCTTCCTAAATACAAAAAAAAACTTTATTTGTTCACTGTCTAGTTTAAAGTACATGTGCTAAACTACAGTAATACTTGTCTAGCATACACTAATAATGCTATGTACAACATTTCTCAATTCACACTATCTCAAAATCTTTTACTTTCATATCTATTTCGTTGTAATTTTTTTCTACCAGAATCTGAAGTGCCCGTAGGCTTTGTTGGCATCAGCTAGTTTGTGTAGATCATATTTCCTCTTGACTACCTTGCCCTGAAACAAGAAAGAAACATGTTAGGATCAAATACATCGATGAAGGTTAGACATCCAGGTAATGAGATACACAAGAAAACAGCTACTCAAGCAACCATATAGATTTTGTCTAACTGTCAGATGTTTCAAGTAGCAGCCACTGTTTTTTAACAAGAGAGCAAGCAATGTCAAAATAGGACATGCTGTAAAATACTAATTGGCATTATGAAGCACTATATTTTCCAAAAATAGAAATAACAATCTGTAAACATATCTTGAAAGTTACTAGTAATCTGTATTGGTTGACATCGTTATGCAGTGAATTTAAACTGCAATTTCCAACAAAAAGAATTGGACTTACCCAAAATTAAACAGTTACAAGATAAAAGCAGTGTCTAATACTTTAGTAAGCACACTCACCTGTTCTTGGTAGGCCTCTAATAGGTTAGAGGCCAGTTTCTTGGCAAAACTCTGATTGTCCCAGTCCCGGTTTTCTCTGGTCTCTGCAATCATCCAGTTCATGGCCAAAAACCGTCTTCTGTTGTCTGTCAGAGGGGTGGGGACCTAGGGACACAAGGTGGTAACTTAAAAGATTCTTGAGGTTAGGGTTATAGATTTCGAATCTAGAGGTTCTGGGTTCGAGTCTCTATATAGAGAGGCCCCTATGTTATACCTTTGGAAAAGACACTTCACACCTTTTGCCTTGGTATAAGGTATCCCTTTTATTGTAAGATTTCTACATTTTACCTTAGATTATAAGGCCTAGGAAGAAATTATGCCAGATGTGTCAGATCAAGGTTGATCAGCTCAAAAATTTATGTCCCTTGCAGTGGACAACCCAAAAAAAAGACTAGGGTCTGCAGTTTTTTCTAGGGTTGGTCAAGAAACAGGAAAAACATTTTTTTCCTAGGCCTAATTTACTTCTTTGTTTTGAATAACATCTGTACACTTTGTAGGTCACCCATTGCCAATAAACAGATCAGAAATGAGTTGCTCCCTGACCTGGTAAGTCTTGCCTCCCCGTTTCACACTCTTGACCCCGACCACAGGTGTGCAGTTCTCGATGGCGGTGTGGAAGATCCTGACGGGGTTACAGTCAATGTAAGGCTTTTCCTCCGCTGGAGCCTCATGGTACTTCTTAATCTGGTGCCTCTTCACGTGCTCAAATGCCTTCAAGAAACGCAGTTAATACATGCACTTCAAGACAAGATGTTTGCAAACACAAGTTTGGGACTTGTAGCACAGTAAACTTGGAGGTCTTAATGCCTTCAAAAGCCTTTAAAAAAGTCAAGAAATGCATGGATTTCAATTCATGACTAAAAAATAAAACGCAAGCTCACCTTTTCTACAATGGACCTAGCCAGAGCTCTGTCTCCCTTTTTCATGACATAACTGGTGAACTTCCTGTAAAAATAAAGCCACAAGTCAATAGTATCTTAGAAAGAAATCTCCTTCAATCAAACATCCAACAATAAGCAATAAGTATCTTTTTTTGTACCCACAGTACCTTCTGCCATGGTGCTAAGGCTATGGCACAAAGGAAGTAACTCGCGTGACTTCTGGTTTAATAGTTGTTGCCTGGTTACCAAACCTATTATAGTTCCCGAGTCCTCCATCTCCAGAGATATAATAGGTTTTTTAACCAGGCTAGGGTAGTTGTGGGTGGTTCTTTCAGTGGTAGTTGTCACATTGGTAATGTTTGTAGGTGTGCTAAGGCTAAAGGCAGTAACTCACGTGACTTCAGGATAGTTGAAGACAGAAGTAGACTGTGTACTGAGCGCTGACTTGACAGGACGTGTGTGAGCCAGTTCGTCTATCTCCTCAGGTTTCCTGTAATACTCCTTATCCACCACCGGCTCCTGGTAGGTCTCGTGCCACACAACTGTACGCACCTGGTCCAGACTAATGGCAAAAAAATCTGTCATTAGATCTAATGTGTGTGCATGTTTATCATTGTGCTAAGGCTATGGCACTAAGGCAGTGATTCGTGACTTGTGCCACACTACTGTACGCACCTGATCCCTGACTGAACACAAGCACAATCCGGCATAATTTACTGTGTGTGCGAGTTTGTCAGTGGAGTATGAAACATGAGATGATGAAATGAGTTTCTCATCCATCTGTCTATCTCTAGAATCTCATAGACAGCAGATGTAGGTCATCATCATAAACATATAGTTGGTGTGTTATGCATTTTTATGCCAGCTTGACCACACAAATTATGAACAAAGAGCTATCATACCAGCTATATTAATATGCAGACAGACACAAATAACGTTTCACATTTTTCAATAATGTCGTAGGGACAAATTATATATATCAAAAATTTTGTGGAGGGGGGCGGTGGTTTCAACCAGTTTGTTACGGCTTTGTTCTAATAACGTCAACTCAGTGAGCTTCTAAAACCAACCATTGTGAAGAAAGATTAGAACAAAAGCTTAGTAAAGTGTAACACCTACCCTGGCGCCCATTTTGGAGCCGTTATTCTATAAAATTGAGAAATCGCCGATTTTCCGCACATGGACAGCGCCATGTTGGATGGCCTTAGTGAGCATGCGTACATATCCCACAATCCCCCTCTTCCAAGATGGCGGCGCCCAGTAGAAAAACAACGACGTTTTCCGTGTTTTTAGGTTTTATGGTCGTCTAAAAGCTTCTGCCATGTTTACGTTCGAAGAAAATATGTTGCTATTGTCTTTAAGACTATGTAGTATACGAAAGATCAGTGTAAGTCGACAGTTTAGTAGTTTTATTTCAGAAAAAAGCCAAACTTCGTCCAGACCATCTCAGTGTTTAGCAGACGACGCCGTTGTTTATGTTCACGTAAGTGTGGTTTTGCCAGTTTATCGGTTAGGCAGGAAAATTAAGACGTGTGTGAAGCTCTGAGCTTAAAACATTGTCTGTTCAGTCTGAAGGTTGGCACTAAAAAGCCAGATAGTCAAATGACTAGCACATTTTGGTGGTTATAATTATATTTAGCAGACGACAAAATTTCAGTATCCCCTATTCACACAGTTTTGACCTCCCTAATATTGTGTCTTTTGTCTGCAGTGGCCTTACTGCAAAAGGAGATGTACCTACTGCAACTTCAACAAGTATATCAGGTAGGTTCGTCAGAGCTCTAGTTCTCTGTAGCTCTCTCTCTCAAAAATCACATGGAATTTCTTTTGGAAAGACTCATAACAACAAGCCTTGCAGGCTTCTTTTCTCCTCCTGCATGCTGTGTTTATTTCTTTGTCTTGCATTTGTTGATTAATGTTTTTATATACAAATAAATAAATTGTAAAAGAAAAATGAACATAAAAGAAACCTATGTTCTCCCCAGTGCTTTTGTGGACCATGCCAGGATGCGGAGGTGTTTGGTACAAGAAACAGCAACGCTGCTACAACAGAGCGGAGTTCAACGGGTTAACTCTGTATTCTTCGGGGGAGGTAAGGGAAAAATAATTGGAAAAAGTTAAACCCTCTCCCAGCTGCCTAACTCAGTGCTCCTTACGTTACATTGCACATATTGTGCCAATATTGTGCCTAAAGATTCCCTTATTAGAAATAAGAAGGTTGATAAACACAGGGAATGGTGCAGTAAAGTAACATCTTAGAATTTGTTCTTCGTTCCCTAGAACTATTGTAGTGTAGAACATAACTTACTGCAACCAAGTACAGTATAGGCATCATCACTAGGCAGCTTAAAAAAATATTGGCCTCATTTTTTTTCTGTAAGGCTCAAACTTTGTTTGGAAGTTGGACAGGACATGTCATGAGTGCTTCCTCTTTCTTTGCATGTTTTTCTACTGTTTATTTGTTGGCCAAGATTGTAATTTGTTATTTTTTCTTGTTGTAGGAACTCCGAGCCTGGCTTTACCACAGACCCTAGCAGCAGTCCTGGATGTGATATCCCAGCATGCACTGCTGCCAGTGGATGCAGAAGTTACGCTGGAGGCCAATCCCAGTTCTACTGAAACTAACAAACTCCGGTGGGAGACCTGAACACTTCTTTGCCTGAACAAAAAAAATTATAGATTATTCAATAAAGCCTCAGACATAGATATTTGAATAATCTCTGATCCTAGACATCAGATCTAGTTCTTTAAAAGATCATAGACTTTTGAAATAACCCGGACCTAAGACCTTTAAAAGATATCAGAGTTTAAAAAAATCTCAAAAAGATCAAAGAGTCAAAAGATCCTTGACCCCAGATCTATCGGTAGAACTTTAAAAGGAGATCCCTGTCTTTGAAAAGATTCCTCAAGCGTCTCAGATATTCAAAAGATCCTAGACCTGAGACCCAGTCCTTCGTCATATATGGCTTACTCGCGAAGAATTAAGGAACTGTTTCAGTTGATGTATATTCTTATTGTTCCTTAATAGGGAATTTAAGGCAGCTGGAATCAACAGATTGTCACTTGGTATCCAGGTAAGTTAACACTCAATTTATGAAGTGCATTTGTTTTTTTCCCTCATACTAGCTGCAGAAAATGCAGACTATAACATACATTTTACTCCTATCCACAGACTTTCAGCCCCCCAGACCTGCAGGTACTTGGGAGGGACCACAGTGTGGAGGACTCTTTAAGGTTAGGCTGTCTTCTGATTTGTTTTTTGATAAGGTCAGGGGTAACTCATTTAGATATCACTTTAGAGACTCATATATACAAGTCATATATTATCAGATCTTGAGACTCATTCTCATTTGCCGATGGAATATAGTAGATTGTTTATTAATAGTTTAGGCCAAGTGAAGGTTAACATACTAGTAATGCATTTGCTTTGCAAATGTTACCTTTTTAGTTTATTTGTCTAATGCTGTAGTGTTGTATGTTGACAGGGCCATACAGGAGGGAAGAACCCTGTTCCCAGGCAGAGTGTCGATAGACCTAATCTTTGGCAGACCTGGTCAGACGGTCGAGGCTTGGCAGAGAGAACTGCAGCAGGTGGGCTTTTGGTTTCTTTCTCTCTCTCTCTCTCTCTCTCTTCTGTTGTTGTTACTAAGGTTACAAGAGTTTTCTACATGCTGAAACTGGATTACATTTTTAAAATGTCAGATTGATATGAGTCAGCAAAGTACAAATATGCCCTATGTGGCTGAGACTGTCACTGTCCTACAGGATCGATGTTAAGCTATGGCCTATTGTGCCTGTCAAAAAGAGCTAGGAAAATTTCCCTGGTGCAATGAACCTGTAAATACTGTACATAGTACCAGGTCTTCTTTGTCATGACCAGTGGAAGATTAGCTCTTGGGAAATTGAGCTAAACCTGGATTGAGATCACTTTTCTTTCCTCTGTTGTGTCCTGCAGGCCCTGTCAGTGTGTGATGACCACATCTCCCTGTATCAGCTCACCCTGGAGAGGGGAACAGCCCTGTACAGGCAGGTGCAGAACAAGCAACAGGTGGGCTCAGTATTCGGTGATGACACCACACAAGTTCCTGCAAGTTTTCTTCCTGGGTTGATATCATCATCATCATCATCTGGTTGTGAGCATCTCAAGGATGTTTTGGAGGCAAAAATCAAAACCTTGACACAATGTTGACCAATTATCATAAGTGCATACATGTATTTGGATCAACAAATCATTATTGTACTACAATGTACAAATGGAGGTGAAATCAAAACCTTAACAACCTCACCACTATCTTTTGATCAACAAATAACTATTGTACCCAAAATGTACTTTGTTCCAAGGCTTGCATGGTCTTTTATTGAGAGGTTGGCTTCCCTACTAGTACCTGATTCTACTACTAGGGAGTGATAGGGCTGAATAGGCTGCTATAAGGAGCTGACTCAGGTGGAATCAAGAGGTTATTTTATCCACAGTATGGAATGAATCATTGAATGCCTTTCTCCTGTTCCCAGACTGTCCCAGACCCAGACACCATGGCAGACCTGTATGCCTGTGCTAGGGAGACGCTGCACAGCGCTGGTTTTCAGCAGTATGAGGTCTCCAACTTTGCCAGAAATGTGAGTTTTGTGTAAGATTTAAGTTTGATAAATGCACACACACTTCATGAGTGAAGTACAGGGAAAATTCCTGTCTTGGAGTTTGTGTGTGTTGCAGTTCCAATGAAGAAGAAAATATGCTCATATCTGATTTTCAAGTATATAGTTAGTGTCATGCCTTAATGCTGTGTACTAGTATCTTATGCATAATGACCATAATGTGTACTTGCAGGGAGCTGAGAGCAGCCATAACCAGTCCTACTGGAGAGGGAAACAGTACATAGGAGTGGGGCCAGGTAAGGGATGAACATGGATTGGTTACAGGGATAACCATTCTTTGCCAGAACACAATGTTTGTGTGTGTGCCTTTGATGTATGTGTGTAGGTTTGTGTGCATGTATGTCTGTGTGCATCATTTTGTGTTTGTATGTGTGAGTCTGTATTCATGTGTATGCATGCACATCTCTGTATATGTACATGTCTTTGTGTCAGTGTGTGTGTGTGTCTATGAATGTATACAGGAGTGACTCAATATCACAAACTTAAAGGAAATCCTCCCCTATCCACACCCTTCCCTCCATGGTACCCAGTTGTTTCAGCATCCCTGAAAGGAGAAAGCAAAGTTAACTATCCCTGTTTTCCAGGTGCCCACAGCAGGTTTGCGTCCCGAGGTTCAGGCCAGATCATCAGAGAGGTGAGAATCCAGACCCTGGAGCCGGGGCAGTGGATGGGAGCGGTGGAGAGACGGGGGCATGGCACAGCCAAGAGGACGGCTCTGTCACAACTTGATATGTAGGTGGAACAAGACTGTCTTGTAATCTGCAAGGATTCACCTCATTTTCAGTGTTTTTGCAACATTGGCAATCTTTTCTTTGTTCTACTGCTAGGAGGCAAACTGTGAAAAATGCAATACTAGAAAATAGTTATTACCAAAATGTTGAAAAAACAGGCTCAAAGGATGAGCTGGATCCTTTTATCTACTTGCATGTGGATATCATTATGAAAATGGTGGAAGTAGGGGGCTTGTTGCAAAGTTTCCAACTAGCTGGTCGCCACATCTAGTGGTCTTGAATTTGAATTGTAACGTCACCTAGTGTGTTGTGCCACTAAGTGTTGTGCCACTAAGTGTTGTGCCAATGGCACTTTAAACAAATTTCCTCACACAAGCCCCTATGTTTTTTCCTGCAGGTTGGAAGAAACCCTGATGTTGGGACTGAGAACCACAGAGGGTCTGACCAATGAGGTGAGTGCTGGATGAAGATTACACTACAGCCAAAACTAATTACATGTAATAAAATAGATCACACTACTGTAACAGCCTCTTCAAAGAGTAGAAACTGGCTAAATGGACCTGACAAATCTGCCAAGCAGATTTTTTAGTGGCAAAATGATCACAATCTAGTTGGAAAGACACTAACAAGACAGTATTCTACAGCGGCCTATTTGAGTGTCTTGTTGGCTGGTTACGACTTTGCCACTGAAAGATCTACTTGGAGATGATGAATTGCATTTTGTATTTGCAGAGATGGCAGCAGTTATCAGGGGGAAGTTCACTTCAGGACATCTTCGGGACTTCTGAGGCTGTGCAGGAATTCGTAAAGGCTGGTCTGCTGGAGCTTTCTCACAGGTACACTACACGTATTCAAAATTGTGGTATGCGTGTTCAAAGGATGGAAGTAAATGATGTAAGTGGTATAATTTTCAGTTTCCTGCTATATTCATGTTTGAAGTCAGTGAGTGAAATTTTTGGATGTCTTGTTTTGTCCAGTGTTCTGAGGGCGACACATGCAGGCCTGGCTGTGTTGGACAGCATCATTCCTGATCTACTTCTGACAACTCAGGACTTCTCCAGTAGTCTCCAACGGACTGAAGCCAGGGCTGACATAGAAACTGGTTAACCATAATTTTGTAAGGCAACTCCAGTGTATTAGTCTAAGTGTTTAATAAAATTCATTATTTGTTTCTAGAATTATCTTTAATCAAATTGCCAGAACTTCCGAGAACTCTCTCGAAGCAGAGGTTGGGGTTTTGGTTAACTTTTGGTGGTTTGCAGGCTTTTTGATCGGGCTTTCTTTTTTGTGCTGGTACCTTTTTTACGCCAACTAAGAGACACCAGTGCAAAAAAGGAAGCCCAATAAAAAAGCTTACAAACAAACCAAAAAGTAAGCCAAAACCCAAACCTCTGCTTGGAGAGAAGAATCTGAGTCCACTAACAAAGCTGAGACTGTTGTTTAACATGGTTTATTTTTAATGGTTGGCATCAAGTTTTTTCTTCAGCATTCTTCTTCTTCTTGTCTCAATTGAGATCTGAGTCCTGTACATTGTAAAACAGCAACTGTAAAAGGCTGAGCTATAGTCACAACTCCTTTTTCCACGGCCCTGTATAGCTCCCAATAGGAGTTATCCCCAAACACACAAAAGCAACATAGTCAAGGGTAACGGTCAAGCATGCAGCAACGTATAATGTACAGTTATCATCATCAGTACTTTACAATTTCTACCACGTACAAAGATTTTCAATACGAAAGCAAGTCACAGGGAAGTTATTTACAGAGGAGGGGGGGAGCTTGCTGAAGGCAAGAGCAACTGGAAGTAGTGGTAGTCCCCACCAATGTTACTGTACTTCGTTCTGGGAGATATCACTTTGAAATAGTACAAATAACCACATAACTTTTAACATTTGCCTTACTTGCCTTGCGCCCTCCACTTCTAAATATAGCAAGAGATAAAGGGCTGACCTAGGCTTTAACCAGGTAACTTTAACCCCCCTTTTGCTGCATTTCAATGCTCTATAAAACTGGGTTTTGCTCACAAAAACCTTAGCAACTTTGGCTTACTGCTCAGTTTGTTGCTGTGTGAGATTTCATCCATTCTACCATTTGGTATGGCCAAAGTTACTTCATTCTGGGAGGTGTCAATTTGAAATAGTACGTTTTGTTGCATTTCAATGCTCTGTAAAACTGGGTTTTGCTCACCAAAAAACTGTCAACTTTTCAGTCTGTTGCTGTGTAGTATTTAATCCATTCTACCATTGGTATGGCACAGAGGGATTGTTCACTGTGCTTCTTTCTTGGGAGACTGTCACAAAGTTTGAAGACTTTTTACACATCTCTCTCATGGACTGTTCAGTTTTACAAAGCTTTGATGGGTCTGTTTTTGCCATCATGCCGTGTCTCTGCATTAAAAATCTTCTCCAATTCTGTGAGCTTATGAGTTAAAGCATGGACACAGATTGTTGATATCATTTTCCTCTCTTCAGTTTTCTAAATACAGCATATAGTTAAGCCTTTTCATCATAACAGCATGTAGAAAAGGTGTGCTTAAATTGAAGGTGTGTATCTCACCATTTATGAACATGCTCTGAAACTGACAGTGGCGTCTATGCATTGTAATACATTTTGTATACCCCAATGATTTCAAGAGCTAGAAGATCTAGCTTTACATGTAAAATACATGTATCTTAACATCACATGCTGTATCTTAGTTTAAGTATAGGTGGTGGGGGAGGGGGGCTACCAGTCCCCAGTTGCTCTTGGGTTCAAGAGAAGCTTCACATGGCCACAGTATGAGATGCTCTCTTTTACAACTGATTCTGCCAATAAGCCTCCACACAGGCTGGGTCATCGACCCCTTCTGACCCTTGCCCTCTGGTCACCTGCCAACCTTTGACCCCATGGCAACAGTCAACCTTTAACCTCAAAATCGATCGATCTCAAGTTTTCCATTCAAATCTTGCAAACGTGAGGTCAAATTTTCGTGCCCCTCTGGGGAGGTCAAATTTTCTTGACCCTCCCGAGCAGAGGTTAAACGTCAAGGGTGAAAGGGTGCTGACAGTCTGTGGAGAGGCTTACCCTATATGTCAATCCTGAGTCTGGTACTTCATGTACATACAACATTGCAAGTTAGGACGATGCAGCTTCAGTTCAATTGTTTTCTTTGTACACAGAAAAAAGAAAAAGACGAACCTCCAGTGAAGTCATGCCTGTATGTGATACCCACGATGTAACAATGTTCGTAATTCTGAGAAATAAAAACTCCACTGGCAGATCACAAGTCAACACATCGTTTTTCTCGAAAATTCCTATCTTATTATCTATAATGTCACAAACAATATTACTCTTGTGTCCGTACAAAACGTTTTCATATCCACAAGCCTCAAATGATCTCATGGCTGCTACCAAGGCTCTTCAAACTAGCCTACACTAGTATCCAAAAAGCAAAAATGGCCTTCGTGTTAAAAAACAAAAAAGGAGAGAAAAAAAATATCCCACTTTTGTCAACTTTTTCCCCAAGCTAAATTGTGTGGTGGAGCTAGCTACTGCACGTCAGGGCACCTACTGTATTCTCACGACTTAGAAAACTTCCCTTCCCCTCCCTACAACAGGAAAGGAACAGCCTGGATCCTTTTTTTACCCTCCCAAAGACAGTTGTCTCCACTGTCCTAGCGAAATGTAAGGACAATGCAGCTGAAATTTCTCCAGAAAGCTTACTTGACTTATTGTATCTCTGTGACTGTCACAGAACTTTCATGATGGGCCTTCAATATTTCATGTACAATGCAGAATTACAGGCTCAGTAAGGGATTGGACATCCGACTTCCATTTTTCATTAAAAAAGAAAACAGGTCTAAAGAAACAATACCACAGGCTGTTGTGCATCATTAAGATCCATCAGACTACCTTTGGGACCTAGGTTGTTAATGATGTAATCTGGCAACAGAGAACAATCCAATGCATTGTGTAGCTCACGACAGACACTACTGTAATTTCATGTCACCCAGACAATTCACCATACACTGAATTTTCTTGGAAAGTAATGTCTGAAAGAAATATGTTTGGTCTTGACAGATACAGCATTTTGCCAATCATTTGTACATTTCTTTCTCATAAAAAGTCGAACAGCTTTTGCCAGGGCTAGTACAGATTTTGGTTACTAGTACTGGTATTATCTTTGAACGGAGGAGACAACTGGCTTTGGTACATAGACTTAGTAGGTACTGCATCTACCGTAATGGATCACTGCTAGTCTCAATACAGTAAGCCAAATCCTTAGACAATCTGACGTGCCGTTTTTGTGTTGTTTTGATGTGCTGTTTTTGTGTTGTTTTCACCGGGCGGTTGTTACTTCCATTTCTACACACACACATTTTTGTAGGAGGTTCTGAGTTTTCTGTTCGATCGGGTTTCCTGACCTAGCTAGCTCGGTTTTCCCCTTCCTCGATTTTTTTTCTTCTTCATAATCTCTCTCTTTCTCCTCACGTTTGTTTTTTCTTCACAGTACATCACACCATTCCCAGCAACACACTCAAGTTTTGTTTCTCCAGTCAGGTTCGTTCTCCGTTGTGCAAAGTTTTGTCCTCCAGGAATCTCCGACTACTTCTTGATGTGCCTCGACGACGTCGATCGCCCGGTCGTGTCTCCGTCTTTCTCTCGCCCTGACGCGCTTCCTCTCCGCAAACCTACACGTAAAAAAAATGATAAAAGACAACGTTAGGGAAGCCACGCCACAAAGCAAGCCTAAATTCCACGTAAAACAAGAGGAAGGGAAAAAAAACAAACAGACGAACCCAGTGAGATAGAACAGGGAAAGACGAAACAAAAGAATTTCTGCACATAAAAAAACAGCCAAAGACACTAAAAAAAAAAGGCAAAGACACTAAAAAAAGGCAAAGACGCTAAAAGAAACCCAAAGAATAAGCGACAGCAGTTACACAGCAAGAGAAGTGAGACAGTATCGACATGAGGTTTAAAAAGTGGACAGCAGGGGAAGTAAGAAGGGAAGGGATGAACCACTAACAACGACACATGCAGTCATGCTGACGTCACGGGGGACAAATCGCACCAAGCAACGTTCTTCTCTAGGAAGTGCAAGTATTTTTTTTTTTTGGATGGGGGGGTAAGTTTGCCGAGGGGAGTTGTACTGATATGTAAGTAAGTTGTATTATTATTAATGTTTTTATACTTAATTTTTGTACTGATATGTAAGTAAGTTGTATTATTATTAATGTTTTGTGCACACCCCCTGTTGTGGGTAATGTTTTACGTGAAAGGGGGACGGGATGCGGTGGCGTTGTAACCAGGGCAAGCTGCATCTAGACTTCAGACCATCCCATGCTACGGTACAGGGTTACGTACTTCCGTAAGAGGCTTCGGGCGTGATGTGGGAAGACTTTCTCCTTTCGGCCTTGGCCCGTTTCTGTTTGGGACCTAGAGAAGGGGTGATGAAGACAGTCGGAATCTTCACACCACGCCTCCGCCACTCACACGATCGGCACACCGCCGCCGCACACGGGGGATGCGCAGGGACCAACCACTACAGAGCTTGCAATTTCTCATTCCGAGGCCTCACTGACTCAATTTTATGGATGACATCCGCTGGAGACTTCTAAACTTGTGAGCGCGGGCAAATGAAAATGATTCCGGCCAAAAATAAAAACGCTGCTAAACCACAGGAATACAAACTAAGCTTTGAATTTGTGGTAGTACATAGGCAGGTATAAGACAAGCCAGCACATGCTGACCATTTCTTGAGTCGTGGAGCTTCAGTAGCCTAGGTGCCATCCTCCAGAGTTACCACCGGCTCCTTGTTGTCGCTAGCTACCATGGACTACAGAGGATGGCACCCAGGCCAGAGCCTCGGAGGACGTGATTATTATTTTTTTTTACAACAGGCAAAAATCAATGTGAGCGCAGATGTCATCCATAAAATCAAATCAGTGTGGCCCAACTTCTCTTTCTTTCCTTCTTTCTATCGGTTGCAGTCGAGTCAAAACGGCATTCGTTCGTTCGTTCGTTCGTTCATTTGCTAACTTCTTAGTGACGATGCAAACTGTGTGAGTGGGTCCGTGCTCATGCGGACTAGAGAAAACCTCAAGAACACATCAGACGTTGGGGTGGAATGAGGTATGTGAGGTACAGATATAAACCACAAGGTCTGTACAAAACACTGCTCTGCATCCTATTAACACATTCGATTTATTGGTTTGCTTGGTGAGCAACCATGGTGCCAAAGTAGTTGGTTTGCATTTGCTATTTCAAACTGTATTTTGCATGTTTTATGTTCTTGAGCAAAAGATCTTAAAACCACATTTGTGCTTGCTATCTGATGCTCACAAATCCATGTGAATAGAAATGTTGGTTAATACTCTAAGTAACAAGGGCTAGTCTTTGAAGCCAACTGGAAGAATTTTGAAATAGTATACCAAATGATACTCCTAATTATTCTAGTGTTTTAAACTGGTTACATTAATCTTTTACATGTATTTGGGTTTCTTTCATCTTTTCTTGATGACTTTCAAAAAGCTATTTTTTAAACAAATTTTGAGAGAATTGGCATTTGGCAACTTTTTTTCCAAGCTTCGTGAACTGTGATGTTACGGTAGAACAGTGAGTAAGTACAGACCTTGAGGTTAGAGAGTCGACACGAAAAACATCCTGGAGGAAAGGAACATACACATGACCTTCAACTGCGACCCTGATGCCCCCCTCCCCCATCTAGCTATCTCCAAGTGGCTGAGGACAGATGCTCAGGCTGCATTATGGGTCTCATAGGCTGAAACCTGGGCAGAGTCTGTGAAGGATAGTACCACTCTGGCAACAGAAGAAAAGCCACCACCAAACGTAAAGCCCTCAAGAAGATAGGGCAAGTCAAGGTAAACAGACCAAGACGTCCTTTTGAAATAAGTTGAGTTTTGAAGAGTTTGGAGACGCTTGAAGAAAACACACTGATCTTGTATTGGTAATTTTGTTAGGTTAGTTGACCATCAAAAGAGGAAAGTGTACAATCATCTGAGGCACTTGTGGCACACTTGTTTTGATTTCTATAGCCCTTGAGTGCTGTTCCTCAGTAAGTGTATCTCTTGGGGAAACAGAGCATTACATACAATGAATGAGAAGACCTTCAAATTTGTATAGATTTAGCTTCTGGTCTGAATCATCATTGTTATCATCAAGTGTCGATCTTTGGCCTTGGTAAATTTTTTAAACAGTAGTATCTGACAAAACACTAGAAAATTGTACAGACTCAACTTCCGATTTAAATTGTGGTGAACTGCACTTTTTGCAAGAAATTTGAGAGAAAGATGCAAGAATTTTGCGAGCGCAAGCCGTTGAACCACACCGCCAGCCAGCCGACCAAACCAGCCCTGCGTACCTAGCCCAGAGTTCAGCCCTGTTCCCACCAGGTTCCCAGAGTGTATGTGAGAGGCGGACATACGCGCCGGGTCAGTACGCCCTGTCGCCGTCAGGTCAGAGGTCGACACATTGGGCGCCGTCCCGCGGTGCAGCCGCATGCTCACTCTCCGCTCCCGCTCCGCCCGGGACAAAGGTCGTGGAGAGGTCGCTGAAAGGTAAGAGGTGAGAGGTCGTCTTACTGCACCGGAGCCAGCATAGAACGTACTGTACCTGCGCGGAACCCCTAATGTATCGTGCATAGCACTTCGGCAGAACATCTCATATAAGGTCGTATTCACGTATATAACGTTAATATCACGACTGTAGTTTCCAAATGTTATGGTGGAAAAGCAGGGCTCTACCCAAGCAATGAAGCAATTGTGCTTTCTAGCACCTCTCCCAAAATGTTCAAATTTAGGCCTTTCTCAGTTAGTATTTCCACGAAGATTTGATTATGGGAACACCTCTCCCCTAAGGATTTCTGAGGAGACCCCTAGAAAAGATATTGTCTGGCAAAATTACAGGCAAAGTTCTGATGCGAAGTTGACCAAACGTCAAACGTGAAAAATCAGGGTTTCACACAGGCGCAGTACGTTCTGCCGACGTGCTAAAAGAGCCAAACACAGGGGAGGGTTAGCCACACACCAACCAGTTGATTCCTCTTGCAGCCTACCTAAAGTTAGAATTTCCAAAAAAATGTCTAAACTGTGGTTAGAATGTTTTGGAAAAAAGCTGAAAAAAACACCACCTAATCTGTCCCCAGCCACTAACTACACATGGTAGAAACTTCAATGTAAGCCTAGTTGTTACTGATTATGAGCAAGAATCTACATTGGGAAGATTTTTTAAGACAAAAATCAGAGCTTGAAGAATCAACAGTTTCTCAACATCAAGCTTACTTGAGGCATTACACAAGTCACAACACACAAGCCATTGGTTAGTTCAATCACAGTTAGCTGAACGCTGGCCACAATCAATTTGAGAAGAGAATGGCAGTTTGGATATCTGATTAAGATTTCTAAAACCAGAAAAAAATATAGAGTAAGGATTCTCTTTCAATGCATTGGCATGTGATTGATATACCATTGTACATTAAAAATCAAGGTAAAATACAATACTTACAAATGTAAGGGTTAAAATTTCCATTCTCTTTCCAAATCCAAAATGACCAGTGTTTTGGTACTCCACACAAAAATTAGTACGTGCTGACAATCAAGCTTCTAACAGCCCAACCAGTGGAGGGGCAGCTAGAAGCTTGATGTAGTCAGGCTAAAGTCATTGACTAACTTTTGGCCATAATGTAGGACTAGATCATTTGTTAGTACAAATGTACAGTATTTTCCATCAAGCTTCTATGGGCCCGACCAATTTGGAAGGGCAGCTAGAAGCTTGATTAGTCATTAGGCTAGATCATTGTCTTGTGTTACGGTTAGTCATCAAGCTTCTAGTAGCCTGACCAGTGGAAGGGCCTCCAGAGGCCAAACCAGTGGAAGGACAGCTATAAGCTTGATGTACATGTAGTCATGAGGCTAGAATCATTAGTAAGTGTTGACAATCAAGCTTCTAGGGGCCTAAGCAATGGAAGGGATGCAAGAAGCATAATGTAGTTAGGTTTGATCACTATTGAGTGTTGGCTATCATGCTTCTAGTGTCCCAACCAGTGGAAAGTCTGCTAGAAGCTTCATGTAATCAGGCTAAATGATTGGTTAGTTCCTGTGCTGCGTTCCCTGCTACGACATCCAACTTACGAGCAGCAGGCGAGGGCGTGGCGGCCTGTGGGCTGGTGGCGTCCCCGGTGCGTAACCTGCCCGCGGTGGCGGTGCCGGTGAGCGCCCGCGGCGTGGAGGTCCGCGGGTTGTTGTGGTGGTGGTGCCGGTCCTCTCTCCTGTCACGGTCCGTGTCGTCTGAACTTCTACTGCTGCCACCCTGGTAATAACATCGGGGAGGGGAAAATAGAACCACAAGGATTAATAATCAGGCCATAGATATCGTAAGTACAGTCAAATCGTTACAAGTGACCACCTCTATATAAGGACCACCTGGCCACAATGACCAACATTAGAATCTAGCCGTAGCTGTTCACATAAAGCAGATTTTAAGGGTCCTTTGAGTGGTCTTCTTGGGCAGTTTTGACTGTAAAGGTAACAAGATGAAAACAGTGTGCTTGGATCTGACCCAAAGGTGTGTACCAAGGTACAGATTTTCCTGGCATCAAGCTCTTGTTTTCATCTTCGAGTTTAGCATTATTTTTTCCAGATCTGAGAACCAACAAATTAATTCAGGGTAGCCTTATATGTCAAATCATCGGGCAAAAGTTGCAGTGTAGGCCTCATGCAGTTTTACCAGTTTCCAATGATCAGCAGAACGTTTCTTCAATTTGTCCTGGTCAAAGATAATTTTTAATTTTAAACATTCAATGTTACATGATTGAAAGTTGTGAAAGCTAGACAAGAAAACATTGTTTTAATCTGAAATTTAGATACTATTTCATATTCAATCACCCAATCCAAGCGAAAATTTTCAATAATACGGAGCTTTTTGTCCTACATATAATTTCATACTTAATAACAAGATAAAGCACATCAAATAAAGCACGTTCAAAGATTGGAAAATCACATCAAATCTTCAACTAAACAAACCATACCAGTTCTCACAAATTTGTTATAAGAGTTAAGAAATTGGAGGCTTTACATTTTTTTAGGCAATTGTTAGTTTTTCATCTACTCACTGCAAAAGCCCATTTCTAGTGTTATAAGGAAGCCTGATCAAATACATAATAGAAACTTTTCATCAATCATTTCTATAGGCACAAGCATCTGAATTCCACAAGGTGTAAGTAAATGTACAAGAGCACTGCAATTCATTTTCAATTCATCTATCGATCAAATTGTCATGTCAATCTTAAAGGCTCAAAGGGGTCAAAGTACATTGTAGCACCACACAAGCATGCAAGACACCCCCGTCTTCCCCTAGCAGAAAGAATGTGAACTGCAGGAAACCAAATCAAACCTCCCCACCCCTCATGCAAAAAAAAGGTAGTAGTAGAGTAACAATCTGGAGGGCCAAACCTCGTTGGTACTTACAAATTTTAGCATATTCCAGTCAAACACGTAGTCATAAGTGAACCCCTGCCTATGAAACAAATTTCGGAACAACTGCCTTAGATACGAGTAGTCTGGTTTGTCGTCAAAGCGAATCGATCGGCAGTAATTTAGGTAGGTCGCAAACTCCGCTGAAAAGAGAAAAAGAAATGAGAGGTTCACAAAACGGATCTAAGTGACGGTATATCAGGGCCTGCGCTGGCTGCACCTGGGGTGCTGTGTGGTCTCGTCAGATGAACTTCAACTTCACGAAATTCTGACTAAAAATAAGTCAAAATGTAAGATAAAATTGAGATTGACAAAAAGTGGCGAAAATGTACATCATTCCTCATAACATTTTTGTCAAATGTTTTCAAATTAGGTACATGCTTGATGAGTTCAAGTGTCAAAAAGTAAGAGCAAAGTTTGTTTCAATGTTGACAGAAATGACAGTTTTTGTGGGTCTAGATTTGAATTCTACACCTTAATTTTAACCTTCTCCCGACTGCCTACCCTTGTGAACAACACAAATTTGATGTCAAAAGGTTACTTTAGCAGGGAGCAGGTTAAACTATTCAACTTAAAGCTTTCGAATACTTCAGAGGTATCCTGACAAACCACACAAAACTCCAAGTCTAGCCAAGCAGGCCCCTGAAACGTATATATATAAAACAGTAGCAATACTTACAAGGTGATACAAATTCCAGTCAAACACGTAGTCATATGTGAACCCCTGTCTATGGAACAGGTTTCGGAACAATTGCCTAAGATACGAGTATTCCGGTTTTGCATCGAACCGGAGCGAGCGACAGTAATTTATGTAGGTCGCAAATTCCGCTGGAAGAGAAAGAGACGCAAAAACACAAACTTTAAAAACCTCGACCCCCTAAAGATTGGAGCAGGTTTTATGGAGGTAAAAAAATGATGTGCTACCTTACGTGCAAAGTGAAAAGACTACTTTACACTTGTATAAACTTCAACTAAACCTTTTAACACTTGTATAAACTTGAACTACACTAAGTTTAAAGGAAATGACAAGTCACAGGTGAGTTAAAAACAACCACATCTTTAAACCAACCACAACAGTTACTGTGAAGGTACATTTCGATGGACACACTTAGTGATGCATACCGGTTCACTGGACTTGGATCCGGACTTGTAAGAATGTTTAGGTCCAAGTCCAAAAAAACCTAAAAGTCAAGAACCGAGTCCGGACTTATTACCATAAAAGACCATTTCACATACCCCTTTTCTTTTTAAACCACCTAAAACCTTCCGTAGATTCAAAAATCTTTGCTGTAAAATGAAGAAAACATTGCCATCGGGCATCGTCAAGTACAGGCCTCCATGTTATGTGGCCAAAGTTTCACCCAGACAACATTGCAAGGTTGCCAACATGCAATTTTGTATATGCCATGGGTTTAGGTCCAGACTTACAAGTCCGGACCTGAACCTAAACCTCTGGACTTGAATCCGGACCTGAACCTAAAATTGGGTTTAGGTATGCATCACTAGACACACGTGACACCAATGCCACACAAATTTGACATCATGGATAACATCATCTGAAGATGTATCTGCACAAAAAACATTGTCAACAGCAGATTTCTATTACCCTGGGTGCCATCCTCTGTAGTAACTGCTGGCTTTCTCTTTTCATTTGCTACCACATCACCAGTTACTTGGAGGGTAGCAAGTGACAGGAGGAAACCAGCATTAATTAACTATAGAAGTTGGAACCCAGGTTAAGATTTCATAACATTTTCTGAGGGTCATCCATGATATCAAATCTATGTGGTCTTATGACAATATAGAATCTGATCCAAAAGTTGCTCTACACATATAAAGTTTTAGGGATGTGACTTATTTAAGACTAAATCTGCAACTGCCTCTTCAAAAATCTAACCAAAAGCAACAGTGAAGAAAAAGGTGATTTATTCCATAATATATCTATACTTGTAACTTCACAGCCACATATTTTGTAGTTATAGAGTTTAAGCTTGTTCCAACACAAAGAAATAACTCACCATAAATTTTTGGTCGAATATTTTGGTGAATATTTCTTTGTGTTGGAACAAGCTTACACTCTAAAACTATGGATTCTACCAACGCAAGAGTTTTATACCAAACACTTCCTACTACACACAGACAGTGGTGCTTCCACCACTGACACGAGAACTTACAGGGATATCCCTTGCACAGGACCTCTATGGGAGTGGACATTTTCTTTTCGGATATCCTCTCGTATTTCTGGCGCTTGGTGGCGGCCTTGAGGCCCTGCCACGGCAGACTGCCCAGGTTAAAGTACATCAGGACATAACCCAGAGACTCCATGTCGTCTCTTCTGCTTTGTTCTAGAGGGAGGGAGAGAAAAGACAACATACAATACTTTATACAGCGATTGTACAAAGTATAAGTGGTATCTACTGCAGTTATAGTAAAGAACATCAGGTTAAAGTACATCAGGACATAACCCAGAGACTCCATGTCGTCTCTTCTGCTTTGTTCTGCAGGGAGGAAGAAAACAAAAACATACAAAATTTACATAATGTACAACAATTGTACAAGGTGCAAGTGGTATCTTCTGCAGTTATAGCATAGAGCAAACATACTATGAGACTGCGACGAAAAGGCTAAACTTTATGTCCAACACTAATAGTAAATTTGGACTTGCCCAATTTACTTTTAGTGTTGGACATAACTTTTTGGCTTTTATATGTTTTACACACATGCTAAAATACTATGAGACTAACATACCTTACAAAAGACTTTTGAAAAAAAAAAGAGAATTTGGGATGAAAATATCCTTCTACAATCATTGGTGGAATTTCTAGCATTGTGTAGCAGAATAGTGCAAACATACTTTGAGACTAAATGTGCTCTGAAATGCTATTTCCTGCATTTTGAGGAGCAAATTTTGCTGGCAGTCTAAGCTTGGTTTAATGGCAATCTCTTTCCATATATTTGCAGACTAATTCCTTCAAATGATGGAAAGACAGATGCTGAACACTAAGTTCATGTTTCAGAAAGCAGAACACATTTCATGACAAAAAATGCTCAAACAAACAAACAAACAAACAAACAAACAAAAACAAACAAACGCACCTATTCCTAAGTGGGTGTTGATGGAGGCGTATCTTGCCGTGCCCGTCAGGTTTTTGTTCTCTCTGTAGGGTATGTGTTGGTGGGTCCTGGCGTCCCGGTATTTCTTGGCCAGCCCAAAGTCGATAATGTACACCAGGTTCCCCTTCTTACCCAGACCCATCAGGAAGTTGTCCGGCTTCACGTCTCGATGGATGAAGTTTTTGGAGTGGATGTATTCTATCCTACTTATCTGTGTGGAGGGAGGGGCATGGAAGAGAAGACATGTGTATGTAGAGTTAGAGATACCGAAACCTGTAGTCTGCATTTTGCAGAGGCATTTTCAATGTTGCGGAAGATAAATCAATTAGCAACTGAAAAAATTGTCTTACTTGTTTTGAGTTAGTTAAAAATTCAAATTCAAGCTTAGAAGAGAGGCTGTAATTCAGTTTTGGTGAGCATTCTACTTTAAATTGTACATCAAATTCTTTTCTGTGCCCCCAACTTTGATGTTAGGTGCATATTGTTCCCAAAAAATGAATTCAAATAAGAATAAAGTATCATGCAAATAACACAAAAAGCAGTTAGCCCTTGCAACCAACACAAAGCAGACTCAAAAGAAATATCCCCATGGCCTTCCTCACAATGACTGACCCACCACATAGTGATCATGTGACATAGGTTATGGGTCAAAGGTGAACACCAGTCTATACCCACTAGTGTTGAGGAAGGCCACAGAAATGGCTGAAAACAAGCTGCTTCATTGTTCCAACTGTGCATGTGCGGCTTTATGTATTGTGGGTAATAGGTCAAAGTTGACGGGCCCCTGCCTGAATCTCAACTTTGACTTTTGACCCACAATGTTTCACACAGCGCATTCGCAGTTGGAACCATGAACACAGTTATTCCTTGAGTCTGCTTTCTTGCGTTGACAAATCAATTATTTGACAACACCAGATGAGTTTCCAGTTGCGAGAACATGAAAAGCATCCGTGTTAGGCAGACAAGACCCGATTTACATGTGGGGGAAAATCTGATGGTACAAATATACTGTATACACACACAGGAGTGTATGAAAACTGCGTACATCAAATTTCTCCTGCATGTAAATTGGCCTGCTTTGACGTATGTCAAGAACGTACCTTCAGATTGTACGCTAGCACTTGAGGTAAGGTACGTTCTTGATGTATGTCAAAGCAGGCTGATTAACACACAGGAAAAATTCGATGTGCACAGTTTTCTATACGCTTGCGTGTGTACGCATTTTATGCACCATCAGATTTTTGCCTGCGTGTAAATCGTGTCCAAGTCTGTTATGTTGTTAGTGTGTTGTTAGGAGTGGAAAAAAAGGGCACCACCGACCAACCAACAAGTGAACGGAAAAACAATGCGTAAGTGTGAAGTGGCGCACACGGTGACGCGTAGCTTGGGAGACGCATATAGAGGGAGGGCGACAGAGAATCATCGAAAACTTCAATCAAAAACGTCCGACCAGACCAGACCACGTCCGATGCGATCCGTGGTAGGCGGGGGGACCAGAGATCGAGGCATGCTTACCAGTTGGTCGGCCAGCAGAAGGACAGTCTTCAGGCTGAACTTGCGCGAGCAGAAGTTGAAAAGGTCTTCCAAGCTAGGCCCGAGTAGCTCCATCACCATTACATTGTAGTCCCCCTCTGCCCCACACCATTTTATGGTAGGAATCCCGACTAGTGTGCAAAAAGGGGAAAAGGAAAAAATAGAGTCACCATTAGCCCATGCACCCTTACCAATTGGTCTGCTAAGAGAAGAACAGTCTTGAGGCTGAACTTCCGCATACAGAAGTTGAAAAGGTCCTCCAGGCTGGGGCCCAGGAGCTCCATGACCATGACATTGTAGTCGCCTTCCACCCCACACCATTTGATCGTAGGAATCCCCACTGTTCGGAGAAAATAACACGTTATGCTGGAAGACACACACACAGGGGGAATGGCCTGGGACAATCCTACAGGAGGGAGGGAAAACATTTCATAGGGTTCAATACACCTTTCACACAATCACAGAACAATGTACTAATGCAGTGTATATCTGGAATAAGCCTCTGCCAGAAACCTTGCTTGCTTCTGTCACTGCATTTTCATTAGCGATTAGTATTCCTGGAGTCCTAACAACTGACTATCACAACATAATACAGTAGTACCAGGGTTAATGTGAAAAAACTGTGACTGTGAGCAAGATTCTTATAGTAAATTTTTCTACATATTTTCATAGCAACAAAGTCTTATAATTCCTTATCTATCAATCTTAATAACAACTTTAACACAAGGCTGGCTGACCCATTTTTTCAGTGTAAAGTTTCAGTGTATACTACTGTACCTACAAAAGTGTGTGTTGTGTCCTTGCTCCCCATAGCTACCCAGACATGTGCATCCAGCCGTAACTTCATAAATCATCTGGGTTAGACCAAACCAAACCAAAACAGAACCAATTCTGCTAAGCAGAACCATGTTTCCAACATAATGCTTATGGCTATCCAGCATGTATGTTTAGATTCAGAATGTTTACAGGTGTATATATACCAAGAAAACAGAATGTTTACAGACATAAGCACATTTTCCACAAGTCTTCTGACTGCTTATGTCTACAGACCAGCAGAGAAGTTTATAATCAGAATGTTGACCAGTGTGTATGACAAGAAAACCGACATGTTTACAAGCTCTAAGTTCATTTCCAACAGGTCTTCTGGTTATGTTTTAGTAGCAGTCCAGCAGTCAAGTTTATAATCAAAACATTGACCAGCATATAATGATATATACCAGGAAACCAGCATGTTTTCAAGATCTATCTTACTCTAAGCCTATTTCCGACAAGTCTTCTGACTGCTTACGTCTATAGTATAGGCCAGCAGAGAAGTTTATTATCAGAATGTTGACCAGTATGTATACCATAAAAACAGCATGTTTACAACATCTTAGCCCATTTCCAAGAGGCCTTTAGGGCTGTTTATGTCTACAGTAGGACAAAACAGAGGAACGTCAACACCACTGCTGCCATGTTCTCACTCAACATGAGACGGCTCTAGAGACCAGGCAGGGAGATTGGAACATTCCTGGAGCCTGCACCACTTCTGGTGTTTCCTGTTTCGACCGAAGGGTGTTACACTTGTCTACCCTCTCTCAAATCACAGTGCAAACAGTTGAAACCAAATGTCACAAGACATAGAAATTTGTGAAATACAGCAAATACTGGAAGCCAAAGCCCAGGAAAAATAGCCCCAGATTTACCAACATTTCTTATTTTTTATCATTTAACATGTTTGTGGAAGGATTGACATAACAGGTGACTATCAGTGAGAAAGGCACCAAATACTGTTTATCATTCCACGTGAGCCTCAACAACTGTGCATGCGCACCGTTGTCATAGTAACAGCCTATTTCACACCAGAACAACTCTTCAGAATATGTCTGTGACGTCAGAACCGTAGACAGTTTAAAATTAGATTCTCAGCCTCCAATGTGATTACGTACGATCTGTCTGTAAGGATGACATTACAGGTGGCCCAAAATTGTCTAGGATGGTTATTTATGAAGACCTGACTGTGTCCTTTTCTTTTGATTCAATTGTGTGTGTGTGTGTGTACGTGCATGTATGCACGTTCCCTACTTTTGTTCAACATAATTGTACTGTGCCATACAAGTTTAATGGGAAAAGGGTAACCAGCAAATTACTTCCTGTTCAAAGTATTGAAGTATTGATTCTAGTTAGAATGGTTCACCAATTAAAAACACTTGACATTCTAACACAAAAACTGCAGTCTCTTCCTGCATTTATTTTTTTTCTGAATATATCTGCCCTTGGATCCAAAGGTTACCATGCTAAATGCTAAGCCAAGTACAGTCACCTGAAAATCCCTTGCCTTTTGGCTCCTGTGCTCAGCTCTAGATCTCATGCCAGGCTCAGTTTTACACAGCCACACAGGCACATGATGTAGACACTGGCCATGGCAGCCTGCCAACCTGATTCTAGAACCTTAACCAGGGTTCAAAATACTCCCTCACTCAGACATGGGTAAAACAAAGACCAGCTTCGCAACATTGTATCATTTTATGCAAAGAAACAGTTACTCAAGCAACTGGATATGATTTCGGAAACCATCAAATGTTTCAGGTAGCATCCACTACCTTTTGTTGAAGTGACACTGTATCATTTTATTTTATACAAACATAGCAAGAAACAATCAACGATGGATTGGACTGGAAAGATATACACTGATCTGGCTAATGTCTATTATACTTTGTAATTAATTAAACTGCTAATTTACAGCCAAGAACAGTCATTACTCATTCGTATTATCATTATGTAATTTGTACAGTATCAAAATTTATTCTACGACTATTTGTAAAATTTGGATGGGGTATACTGTATAGCTAGATTCACTCCCAGAACCAGTGTGTAAAAAGGTACAAACTTTGGTCTGTTTTTGCACTGATTTTTCAGTTTATCCTTTATTGATCCCTGACCTATACAACTGTGCCACAGGCCAAACCAAGGGACCAGTACCAGGAAAAAGACTGACTATTTTTGGTCGGGGGTGAGTCACCGATACAAGGGAAGGGGTATTATTAACCGGGGGAGTACCATTACATAACCCTCTCCATCATTCTGACTGATGGGTAAGACATCATTAGCTCATCCAAAGGACACACAGCTGTGTACCCCCCTCCCCCATCACAACTCACCTTCAAGATTAATATTTCACTGTAAAATCTTCAAGTGTTTGTTTTAATGTCAATCCAATGTTTTTCATGATATTTAGTCCTCTTCGTCATTACAAGAGATGTGAACAAGGAATATATGACATTGACATGTGATAACACCAATACCTCTCACCAAAAACTGTACAGCCACGAGTGTACAGTGCTCACATCAAAAATAGCTGTATGTGTGTATTGTGCTTGATGTGTATGGAGTATGTACATGATGTGAAGTTGCAAACGTGTTTGTGCAGGTGAAATACTAGTACTGCAGATTTACATGTACTTCAACGTTCAAAGCTATTTTCTGCTAGGCATCCACGTATGGATAATATTTTGGTTGCTACTTGAGTAAAAGCTTGATATTTTAATTATCAACAGGACTTGGGACTTCTCCCAAGACAAGTTATCTTTCTAAACAAGCCTGCTAAAGGAGACTTGGCAAGCTAACTGTGTTCTGTAACAGTAACTTGTACAAGTGTATCACTTCATTTATCTATACTGTTGATACACTTGTAGTTACAAACTCTGAGCCAAAACACACAAGTGTGGCGGACTTCTCACACAAGTGTTTGTAACAGTGTGTAGCGAATAAGCAGGGTCTGTGTGTCGTGCGGCTATTTTAGGGGAGGAATGCCACGCGTTGGACTGCCCCGAGACACATGTACACATGTGTCGTTTTACAGCGGATCACAACAAAAACATTGGGGTCTCGTAACCATAGGGCTGTTCGGGCAAGTGAATGTGCCCCTACACTAAATTTTTTGGATGCAAAGTATAGCCACTAAAGTGTTCGGAGCAAGTCAAACCACCTTATTTCAATAAACAAAGCATCCAACATAATAAACTCCAAAATAAGATAAATTTCCTTGGTGGTAGTAAAATTATACATTGAAATATTTATATTTTGGGGGCGTCAAAAGTTGGTTCGGGCAAGTGAAAATGACCTTGCACTTGTACAAAATTTATGTCCCTTGCAGGGATCCATCCCCCCAAAAAAGTCTAGGGTCTGCAGTTTTTTCTAGGGTCGGTTGGGAAACAGGAAACACAACATTTTTTTTTTCCTAGGCCTTACGTATGCAGGAGTTGCACAATGTAACAAAGGGGATTTTGAAAGAAAGCAGCAGAAAGATGTTACATGGGTCTCCCCATAAATTCTTAGGGGAGAGGTGCTCTCTAATTTTTTTATGAAAAATCAGCAAATTTTCAAGAAAATACTAAGAGAAAAACCTAACTTTGAACATTTTGGGAGAGGAGCTAGGATTTTTGGGGAGAGGGGAGCACCCTTGCTTCATTGCTTAGGGAGAGCCCTGATGTTCATATTGTCCTCTCGGATCCATCGTGAGATTTCAGGCATAAATGTTTCAGTAATCAGGTCCAGCTGGTTCCCACGAGG